TGCTTCTTTTAAGGATTCTTTTAAACTCTTTAATCATAATTCACCACTAGAGAATTTTGGAAAACAGAAGTGAAGATCATGAGAGATGCAGAGAAATAAGTATAAAAGCTTTCATCTTTATAAATTGTTATTTTTTAATCAAGCGTATTTTGAGTTTCAATCCATTATATTTAGTATCATCTTTGTGCCTTTCTTTTTACAAAGTTGGCAATATCTTATAACCTTTTATTTTCCAAATTGTGTAACAGAGAACACAACCTGAATAAAAATTTTGATCAGTCGTGGCAATGAAACATACATTTAAATAACAGTTTTATTTGCACAAGTTACCATGTCCTGGGGGAAAATCCAGAAAAAAATGCATTTGTTTGAGCTGATTTTTCTATTTCTAATCTAAAAACTGATCCATCCAATAGTAAAGGTCTAGAGAGCTCTGGTTACATTTAGAATAATAGTTCGATTAGAAGGAATGAACAAGTGACTTGGCTGATTTAAGTTATTTGAAATAGATACCTTATAAAGTGTTGCTATATGAGTCTTAAGCACAATTATTTTCACTTGCTTAGTACAAAAATCTTAGTTACATAATTATTTCAAATCTTTTTATGAAGCATTTACTAAATGTTTGCCTTGTGCTAGATTGTATACCAGATGCTGTGCCAAATATAGTTAAGTATATACAGTGGAAAAAGACAGGTAAAGAATTTATAGCTTATAAGTAACAGAGATATAAACTGAGGCTTCAATAAAACCTACTTTTTAGTTGTGAACGTGGGAGGGAGTGATTAAATACTGGTGTAATTGTAAGAGACTGTGAATTAAAGTATTAAATTCTTCTGAAATATCTTGTGATATTACATGCCAAATGATTCATTTAACAAGCCTTTCATAAGTAATTTGTTTACTTTCTAAATCTTTGTTCAGATTTTCTGTGAAGATCTAGTCATTGTCCAGGGTGAAAGATGCTTTTAGTAACCATCTGACTGTTGCTTTTTATTCTTCTAGTGTATTGGGAATCAAAATTACTTGGAAATTAGTGAATATATTTACAAAAATCATGTCTGGAAACTTTAAGGTTGCTGTAATTTGAGTTTAGGCAAAATTAGACTAGCTTTGGGAACTGTATTAGGTTTCTTTTCATTGACTGATAAATACCAGTGAGCATTTGGGTTATGTGAATGGTTTTGACTTTATGAACTCTGCTTAGTGAACATACCCAGGAAACCTGCAGTAGCATAACACACTCTGGTTTAACAGAATACATGCGAGTATCATAGACTCATAGGTATTTCCAATTGAAGGAGACCTTAAAGTTCATATAAACTAACCAGTCAATGAGCAAAGTGACTTGATGGCACATAACAACAACAACCACACAACCAGTCAATAAAAGTTAAAGCTAACAAATGTTGATTAGTTGGTCAGAATATTTCAGAAATAGTTTTAATGTTAATAAATTCTTTTCTTTGTTTATAAAATATTTCTTTGATGAGTTTAAAATGAAATGTTTATTTGCTCTGAGAACTTTGCCATCCGTTCTTAATAGGCATTTCAAAGGAGATGACAAAGAAATTTTTTTATCAGTTTGATTCTCTTTTTAAAAATTTTTTTGTTGTTGCTATGTGCCATGGAGTTGCCTGCAACTCATAAAGACCCTATGCACAGTAGCTATGAAACCTGCAGTGTTCTAAGCCAGTCTCACTGACTTTGACACATCTACCTCCGTTGCCTCAGTTACTGCATCAATCATCTCATCAGGGGTCTTCCTCTCTTTCACGGTCCCTCCACCCTTCCAACCAGCATGTCCTTCTGCAAGTAGCGGTCCCTGCTGGCCACTTGTCCAAAGTATGTGAGATGAAGCTTCAAAATCATAGCCTCCAATGAGAAACTTTGTTTCACCCTCTCCAAGATGACCTACTTGTTTTCTTAGCAGTCCATGTTCAAGACTCTTTTCCAGGACTAAAACTCAAAGGCATTGATTCTTCTTTTGTCATCCTTAGTCATTGTCCAGCTCTCTGATGCATAGCAAGTACTTGTGAAGACCGTGGGCTGGATCAGGCGCATCTTAATCTCTAAACTGACATCGTTGCTTCTCAGTACTCTAGAGAAGTCCCTGACAGCAGATTTTCCCAGTGCAATTCTTTTTTCTTTTTTTTTAATTTCCTGACTACTGGTACCAAGACTGTTGATTATGGAGCCAAACAAGCTATAACTGTTAACAGCCTCAATCTTTTGTCTACAGTGGTGCTGTGAATTGGCCCAGTGGTAAGAATGTTTGTCTTCTTGATGTTGAGCTTCATTCCATATTGAAGACTATTGTCCTTTACCTTCTGCAGCAAGCACTTCAGGTCCTTCTCAGTTTCAGCAAGCAAGGTTGTTTCATATGCATGATGCAGGTTGTTGATGAGTCTTCCTCCAATCCTGATGACACATTCCTCTTCATAAAACCCTGCTTCCCAACTCATCTGTTCTGCAGGTAGATTTAAAAGCTATGAGACAGCATGCATCCCAGACACACTCCTATCCTGATTTTGGACAATAGTGTTTTCTTCCTCTGTTCTGAGGATTGTTTCCTGGTCCAAGTATAGGTTCTGCATAAGCACAATCAGGTATTCTGGGATTCTCAATCTATTCAAAGTTAACCACAATTTATTGTGATCCACACAATCAAATGCCTTTGCATAGTCAATAAAACAGACATTTCTTTAGTACTCTTTGCTTTCTGCCAAGATCCATCTGACATTGGCGGTAATGTCACTAGTGCCATGACATCTTTTAAACTCAGTGTGTATTTCTGGTAGTTTTCTGTCAATGTACTGTTCCAGCCATCTTTGGATAATCTTCAACAGGATTTTGTTTGTGTGTGATATGAGTGATATTGTTCGATAATTTCCACACTCTGTTGGATCACCTTTCTTTTGGAATAACTCTTCCAGTCAGTTGGCCAGGTGTTTGTCCTACAAATTTCTTGACACAACCTAGTGAGCATATCCAGGGCAGCATGTGTTTGTTAAAATATGTCAATTGGTATTGCATCAATTCCTGGGGCTTTATTTTTTGCCAAGTCCTTCAGAGCAGTCTGAACCGCCTTCTTTATCACCATTGCCTGTTGATCATATGTTGTTTCTTTAAATTCTTCTGTGTCAGCTAGTTCTTTTTGAATCAGTGACTCTGTATACTCTTTCCATCCTCTTTTAATACTTCTTGGATCATTCAATATTCTGCCCATAGCATTCTTAAATATTTCAACTCACGAATTGAATTTATTCTTTAGTTCCTTCAGCTTAAGAAATGCCAGTTAAGTTTGGCTCTCTTGATTTTTTTACTCCATTGGTTTGCTTACAAAGTTTGTATAGAGTGTGTTTCACATTTCATTCAGATTGTCTTTTGTACATTGTGTTTCATTCCTATTTATTATGTTGTATAAAATTAACCAGTATTAAACTATGCTATTACCTTTTCTTTCCAGATCCTCACCAAATCTTTCCCATTTCCTTTATCGCCTCTCCCTTTGCCCATTAAATTGTGCCACCGTCTGGTTTCCTCCTGCCTATCCTCACTCCTCTGTTCCCTTGCCCCTTTTCTTGGCTCCTCAGACACATTTTACTAGTTACCTTTCTATTCCTACAATAATGGTCTTATGCAGTATTTGTCCTTATGAGACTGAGTTAGTTTACTCAGCATAATGTTTTCCAGTCTCTTCCAAGTATGTAGTCATGTTTTAATTCATTGCCCCTGAGTGCTGTGTAGTATTCCAACTTGTGAATATCTGACACTTTCTCAGTCCATTCAATTGTGTTTAGGCATCTGGGCTGTTTCCATGTTCTTGTGTTATTAAGCAATGCACTTACGAACATTAGTGTACAAACCTCCATTTGTGCCTCAGTTCTCACTTTCTTGGGGTATATTCCAAACAGTAAAGGAGCTATATCATCCAGAATTTCTGTGTTCCGTTTTTTCAAGAAATGCTAAAGTGCTTTCCAAAGTGGTTACACCATTTTACTATCCCACCAATGGAATTTGAGAGTTCCTATATCTCTGTATCCTTTCCAGCATTTTTTGATTGCTGTTCTGTTAAACTTTGTCATTGCTACTGGGGTGAGATAGTATCACATTTTGGTTTTGGATTACATCTCTTATTGCCAGTGATTTTGAACATTTCTTTGTGTGTTGGCCATCAGAATGTCTTCCTCTGTGAAAAGTCTTTCCATGGATGATAAATAATTTAAACAGCATAAGGAACTTTTTGGTGTTTCAAGTCTTAAAATGTCTTCCTGGCTGCTATCTTTGTTTAGCTATGGATATGTCCACCTCAGTTGAGAGTATCAAATGTGATGCTTATTGGAGAATTGAAATAACCATAATTAACTAATTCACTGAGCACAAATAACTATACAGAAAGATATTTCTTTTTATAAAGGTATGTTTTTATAGAAGATATTGGTGATTACTTTTATAATTCATTTTATATTGAAAAATTTATAATTAATGCAATTATGCTAGGTATATTATTATTAAATAGAGAAGGCTAATGTGTTGTTTTACATGATGTCGCTGGATTAGATTATTATTGTTAGTATGTGCTATTGAGTCAGAATAATCCCATAGTTGACCTTTGAGTGGGTTTTCAGAGGTAAATCACATGAGGAGAGACTGCCCATCTTTCTCCTGCAGAGCTAGTGGACTTGACTACATGCCTTCAGCTTGCCCATGTAGCACTAGGCCATCAGAGTTCACTGTAGTTTCCATTACACATACATACTTATTAACTTTTGTCCATTTTTCATTTTAAATTGTGAATGTGAAGAATTAACTTCGTCTTCATTTTCATGCAACATAAAAATATTTTTTTTATCATCACATACCAACATAATTAAATCATTCTGAGTGATTTAGCATTATCAGGTATCATTTTTCCAGGTGGTAGACACAAACTTTTTCTTTATGCTCAGTGCTAATAAGACCAAATTTTGCAGTAACCTGTGAATTTCTTATTGCAGGTATATGTTGGGTCTTGCGGCAATCCCAGCTGTTATACAGTTTTTTGGCTTTCTGTTTCTACCTGAAAGCCCTCGCTGGCTTATTCAGAAAGGGCAAACTCAGAAAGCCCGTCGAATTTTATCTCAGATGCGTGGTAACCAGACCATTGATGAGGAATATGACAGCATCAAAAACAACATTGAAGAAGAGGAAAAAGAGATTGGCTCAGGTATGTGGTTTCATATTGATGTGAATTTTAAAACTCTGCACTGTTTTCATTTAAAATGGTATTATTTCAGTTGTTGTTGTTGTTTACTGTCAACTCAGAACCAACACATAGATGACCTTCTCGTGGGTTTTCAGAGGCAGTTGTTCCCACCAGAGGAGATTGCCTATCCTCCCCTTGGTTCTTTTAGTAACATTTGACATTTTTAAGTGATATACTGGTTTTATGTGTCTAACTACACTAAAATAATCATATTGTAATTTAAAAACAATATAATATTATTTGAAAAAGTAATAAAAAACCAAACAAAACCCCTCATAATGCTACTAAATATAGAAAATGAAACCTACTGCTGCTGACTCCATTCTGATTCATGGTGGCCCTCTGTAGCAGAGTGGAATTGCTATATAGGGTTTTCTTTGCTGTTGTTATTGTTGTTATGTGCCATCGAGTTGTTTGCGACTCATAGTGACCCTATGTACAAGAGCTCTAAATGCTGATCTATCCTGGGCCAACCTAGCCATCTCAAACGCACTTATTCTCACTGCTCCAGTCACAGAATTGATCCATCTCATCGAAGGTCTTCCCCTCCTTTGCCACCCCTCCACTCTGCCAAACATGATGTCCCTCTCCAAGGACCAGTCCCTCCTTGCAACATGCCCAAAGTATGTCAGATGAAGCTTCAGATTCTGGAAATGCATGATTGGGTTTTTCTTCCTTGGTATTGTTGGATGGGATTGAATAATCCTTCTTTTGATTAGTAGCCAAGTGCAAGCATTTCCCTACTCCCGAGCCCTCATAACATCATTAAGCTAAAGTCACTGCTGTAGAGGCAGTTATGACCCATTAACCCTGTGGGACAGGGTAGAACTCCCTCATAGTGCTCCCAAGATGACTCCTTATGGAAATAGACTCACATCTTTCTCCTGCTCAGCAGCTGGTGAATATAAACTGTTGACTTTTCTTAAGACAGCTGAGTTCTTTACCATTTATTTCATTGCCAATGTCCTTCATGCTGCTACTGTACTTTGATAATTATTTTTCTTATTTTTGGATACTCTTTTTAATGTAAATGTTTTTAGTTCCCATCATTGTATGCACATATATATGTTTTTATTATGTCTTTCTCATTGATCTCAAGTTATGACCAACTCATGACTGATGTGCCAGTTGGTTTTCAAGTGCTATAAATCACATGGAGGAGATTGTTTATCTTTTTCCCAATGAGCTAGTTGTGGGTTTGAACCTCTAGAGAGGCACAGGCTTTGGACTCTGCCACCAGAGCTCTTTCATGTGTATCTGTGGTTGTGTGCTGAGTTGGGACCGAACCATAGCTGACTCTTCAGCATGTTTTCAGAGGCTATAAATTGCACAGGAGATTACCTGTATTTTTCTCGAGGAGCAGCTGTCAAATGCAGACTGCCCGCCTTTGGGTTGGTAGTGCAGCTTCTTACCACCAGGCCACCACAGCTTCTGTATATGTCCCTAGGGGGTAGCAAAAGGTTAAAATTCTCAGGTAGTGACCAAAAGTAATGCCTTGGAAGAAAGACCTGCTGCTCTATTTCCAAAATATCAGACATTGAAAACCCTATCTATGGAACACAGTTCTGTTTCGACACATATGAGAACAACATGAGTAATTGATGTGAGGGTTTTTTTTTGTGTGTTTGGATTTTTTCCCCCCCATCATGTCAAGAAGACAAAGATTCTCGCCACTGGGCCAATTGGCAGCGTCAGGATGGATGACGAAGAGATTGAGAGTGTTCACAGCTTCAGTTTGCTCGGCTCCACAGTCAACACTCTTGGCACCAGCAGTCAGGAAATCAAAAAGCGTATCACGATGGGAAAGTCTGCTGTCAGGGACCTCTCTAAGGTACTCAGGAGCAACAGTGTCTCTCTGGAGACTAAGGTGCGCCTGATACAGGCCATGGTATTTGCAATCACTTGTTATGCATCAGAGAGTTGGACAATGACTAGGGAGGACAGGAGGAGAGTGGATGCTTTTGAGCTGTGGTGCTGGAGAAGGGTACTGAATGTACCATGGACTGCCAGGAAAACAAACAGATTCATCTTGGAGAGGATTAAACCAGGCTACTCCTTGGAGGCAAGGATTCTGGGGCTTTGTCTGACATACTTTGGACATGTTGCCAGGAGGGACGGGTCCTTGGAGAGGGACATCATGCTTGGGAGGGTGGAGGGACAGCGCAGGAGGGGAAGACCCTCTATGAGATGGATTGATTCGGTGACTGGGGTAATCGGGATGGGTGTGTCAGAGGCTGTGCGGTTGGCGCAGGATAGAGCAGGGTTTAGGGCTGTTGTGCATAGGGTCGCTATGAGTCGGAAACGACTCGACGGCACATAACAACAACAACAACAATCATGTCAATTGTTGTTTTGACAATCAGTTGTATATTTATATAAAGATCTGATACAAGCTAAACCTGTGAATGTCAGTACGTCAGTTTACGGGTGTTGTTGCTGTTAGGTACCATTGAGTCATCTGTGACTCATAGCAACCATATGTACAACAGCTCTGAAGCCTGCCCTGTCTTGAAACAACCTCACTGACTCTGACATGCCTGCCTCCATTGTCTCAGTTACTGTATCAATCCATTTCATCCAGAGTTCTCCTCTCCTGTGCTGTCCCTCCACCCTTCCAAACATGATGTCCTTCTCTAAGAACTAGTCAGTCCCCCCTTGCCACAAGCCCAAAGTATGTGAGACAGAGCTTCAAAATCCTAGCCTCCAAGGAGAAATTTGGTTTTATCCTCTGCAAGACAGACTTATTTGTTTTCTTGGTGGTCTGTGGTATGTTTAAGATTCTTCTCCAGCACCACAACTCAAAGGCATCAACTCTTCTGTCATCCTTAGTCGTTGTCCAACTCTCTGATGTATAACAACGAAATGCAAAGACCATGGCCTGGATCTGGTGCACCATAATGTCCAGACTGTCATTGTTGCTTCTCTGTATTCTGGAGAAGTCCCCTACAGCAAATTTACGTGATGCAATTTGTTTTTTGATCTCCTGAATGCTTGTGCCAAGAGAGTTAATTGTGGAGTCGAGCAAGCTGTAATTGTAAACAACCTTAATCTCTTTTCCATCTATCATGGTGCTACCAATAGCCCCAGTGATGAGAATATTTGTCTTCTTGATGTTGAGCTTCAATTCATATTAAAGACATGTCCTTGACATGCTGCAGCTTCAGGTCCTCCTCAGTTTTAGCAAGAAAGGTTGTATCATCTACATAATGTAGGTTGTTGATGAGTCTTCTTCCAATCCTGATGTCACATTTCTCCTCATAAAGCCCAGGTTCCCAAATGATCTGTTCTGAATATATATATTGAAAAGGTTATGGAGACAGGATGCATCCTGGACACATTGCTGTTCTGATTTTGAACCATGCAGCTGTTTTTTTGCTCTGTTCTGAGAACTGCTTCCTGGTGTGATTATAGGTTTTGCACGAACACAATCAAGTGTTCTGCCATTTCCATTTGCCTCAAGGTGAGCCACAGTTTGTTTTCTACAGTTGTTTTCACAATGTGTTTCTACTTACTGTAAAAGGTGAAAAACTTTTGAAGTCTAGAAAAACAAGCCAGTCCAGGTGAGCTCTAGCTCTCATAGGATTCATACAGAGTTCAGAGAGTTGGAACTTACTGGACTGGCTTGTTTTTCAGAGAATCTCAAGGTCTCAAATAAGTTTTACACTTTGAGAAGCCCATACTCTTAACCACTTTCCTATCCATCTCTATTAGTGGAAAATACTGGTTTTCCTCCTCTAACAGGTTTCTGCTTTAGGTTCTAGCTGTCATAAGTTCTACACTGTGTGTGTATATACACACACTCATATACATAGATACTTTTAATATAATATATAACTAGTATATTTACTATTACATATCATTATATATACTATTATTGTTGTGTACCATCGAGTCAGGACTCACCCATAGCTGACCCTCCAGAGGTTTTTCAGAGGCAATTAATCACTTGGGAAGAGATTGCCCATCTTTCTCCTGTGGAACATCTGGTGGATGTGAACCTTATACCTATATATGTGTCTGTATATTCAAACCGAATGTATGTATATATTATTCATCTTCCATATTCATGAAAATAATAATGGTATGAACCATTGCCAAAAAACTTTCTTAACTAATGGAATTGATTATTAATTTATCAATTTCAAGATTTGTATTGTTTGAAGTGTTATCATCTTGTTTAATTTGAAAATTAATCTCTTAGATTTCTTTTATAATTGATGTTATTATTATTCAACTCTTCATTTCCCCACTCTCAAGTCCCTGGTAGCCACTAATATACGTTTGTATTAATGGATTTCCCAGCTTCGAATGTTTCATGTAAATGGAATCATAAAGTCAAAATAGAATCATACAAAATTCTGCCTTTTGTATCTAGATCACTTCACTCAGTATAATGTTTTCAGTGTTATCCTTGTGCTGGCATGTACCAGAATTTCTTTTCTCATTATGACTGAATAGTATCTGATTGTGTGGATTTATTATTTTATTAATCCATTCATGTTCAGAGCCTGTTGTGTCATTTCTACCTGTTGGCTATTATGAAGCTTGCTATAATGAAAATCAGTGTCGATGTATCTATTTGAGTCCTTCCTTCCTATTATATACCTAGGAGTATATACTTAGGAGTGGAATTTATGGGTCATATAATAGTTCCATGACTAGTTTTATTCAGGACTGCCAAACTATTTCCCATAGCATCCCTCCACTTTACATTCCCATCAGCAATACTTCTTCCATGTTATATTCCTTTTAAGAAGGACAGCATTAATAGCTTTATGGCTTGAATTGATGTAGAGAGGTTTGCCACTGGTAATCTGTGTGTGTGTGTGTGTGTGTGTGTGTGTGTGTGTGCATGCGCGCACGCGCGCATGCACGCTCTTTTATTATTGAGATACTTGACCACCAGTTTAAGCTTTATTTCACAATTGTAATGACCTGGGTTAAGTCCCTAAGTTGCACAA